GGGAAAAGAAGGAAGAAAGGAAGGAAAGAAGGAAGGAAGGGAAGGTAGATAGGGAAGGAACGGAGGGAAGGGAGAAGGAAGGGAGAAGGAAGAAAGGAAGGAAGGGAAGGTAGATAGGGAAGGAAAGAATGAGGGAAGCAGGAAGGGGAGGAGGGAGGAGAAGGAAGGAAGAAAGGAAGAGAAGGAGATAAGGAGGAAGGGAGGGAGAAAGGGAAGAGAAGGAAGGAAGAAAGGAAGGAGGGAAGGGAGGGAAGGAAAGAGGGGAGGGAGGCAAAAGGGAGGACGGGGAAAGGGAGGAAGGGAAGAGAAGGTAGGGAGGGAGGAAGAACCCGGCTTTCCCGAGAACGGTCTGCTTTGGGCCGGGGAGGGCGAACCAAGACGTTTAGACGGGACTTCGCTGGCGGTTGCAAAGCAGCCTTCCCCCGATTGCCATTCCCCCAACTCTCCCCAACCCTTTCAAAAGCTACTCCCATTGCCAGCCTCTTCCAACCGGATCCCCGCCTGCCTCCCCTCAGCTCACCCGGACCAGGTTGCTGACGGCGTGGATAGACTGGAAGACCAGCATGGCTGCAGGGAGAGTGGCACCAAGAGAAGCGGGCCCCCAAAAAACAACTTCCGACGGCTGAGCTGCTTGGCCCAGGACCGAGCACTGGAAAATCGTGACTTTTTGAACACGCCACAGGACGCGGGACAAATTTTAAAAAATTGGGACTGTCCCGTCAAAAGCGGGACGTCTGGTCACCTTAGGTATACTCCCCTGTGCTCCCACTGCTTTTGGCACGGGAGCTGAACAATGTTAGCCATCACCGACCCAAACCTTCCCAGGTTGTTGGAGAGGGAAAGGAGGAGGAGGAGGAAGTAGGTATGTTTGCCACCTTGAGTTATTTATAAAAGTAATAAAGGTGGGATATATATAAATAAATACATAGACAGGTAAGCAAGCAAGCTCTGCTCTTCGGATGTTGCAATATTTTTTTCCTACAATAACAGGTAGAGCCATTCATTAGATTGTCTGGAAAGATGATTCCTATTGTGTTAATTCCTATTATACTTGAATGGAATCCAGTAGTTGTAGAACTAAAAAGGTCTCTTATTATTCTCACATCTATCAGAAACAGCAGCAGACCCCACATTCTTTTGGTGGTCAGTATCCAAGACTCAGCACTTGACAGAGGGGGGCAGTCCTATATCTGAATAATCGCAAGATCATTTCCTTACTTACCAACTGTTCCTGCTTTGGGATGAGGTGTCACTACTGGTGTGACTTGTCACTGTGACTTGGATGACTTCTTCAGGCTTTAAAGATCCCCTTCTCCTTTTCATAAACAGCCCCTTCAATCTTCCCCAGAGGGATTGGACTTTCTGGAGGAGAGAGACCCACACAGTGAGAGAGGAAGCAGCCAAAAGGAAATGAAGGCTGGGACACAATGCTTCCCTTACTCCCAAGGACTCATATCTCAGAGCAGCCTCCTCCTCCTCCAACTTGGTGAGCTTCAGACGGGCTCTGACTTTGAGTCCCAGAATTCCAAGCCTGTTAACTGGGAATACCGAGACTTGCAGTCCAGAGGTGGGCTCCTACCACTTTGGCTGAATAGGTAGTAATTCGGCTGGACACATGACTGTACCAGTTGTATCCTGGGCACCACCATCTTTATTTTCTGTTCTGTACATGCACAGAACAATCTCCATTGAAAAAATGTATTTTCCCCCTTTTTCAATGGTGTGTGCATGCCAGTCCCAGAGAGGTCCCAGATATGGGCCAGTTTTTGCAAAAAAAGGAGGCATTTTTGCCTTCCCCCAGCCTCCAGAAGCTCTCTGCAGGCTTCAGCAGGGCTTGGGGAAGGGAAAAATGCCCCCGTTTTTGCAAAAAACCGTCCATTTCTTACAAAAATGGAGGCATTTTTCCCTTCCCCCAGCTCTGCTGAAGCCTGCAGAATGCTCCCAGGGGCCGGGGAGGACAAAAACTTTTTTCCCCTTACTGGATAGTTTGCAAGTGCTCCCTTAGCTCCGGCGAGACTGGAGACCCCCCCACCCCGTCAAAACCTTTCACTATAGTTTCGGTGGGCATGACTTGGTGAGGGGGTTATGTGACTGAGTGTGTGTGAGTCACATCAAGTTGGCCATGCCTACTCAATCACATGCCCCCCATCTAGCCACGCCCACCAAATCGGTAGTAAAAAAAATTGAAACCCACCCCTGTTGCAGTCACAATCCCACAAAAGAAGCCAGCACTATGCTTAACTGAAAGTCAAACAGAAACAGGAAGCACTTGGCTCAACACAACACAGATGATTAATTTCAGATATTATCTCTCTGCGTGTTGGAACCAACAGCTACTTCTCCAGTCCTTCTTTGGGGTTTTCATAAAGTGGGAACGAAGTTTATGAAACAACACAGGGCCTTCCTATCGGTCTCAAAATGTGTAAACTCTTTGAAAACTCCCCCAGTATTTACATTAAAGCATCTGTACAAATTTGCTGTATCAGATCCAAGTTCCTTTCTTCTGGTGGACATGTGGAGAAGCAAAGAAGTACTGGACTAAGATAAAGATATGGGTGGAAAAGATGATAAAACAACGCACTGAGTTAAAGCCAGAAATATTTTTGTTGCAGATATTACCAGAAACTTATAATTAAGAGAATACACACTTATTCATATATTAACTGCAGCTAGAATTGCATTTGCACAATATTGGAAAAGTCCCCCTTCTCTATTCTGACTCTCCAAGGGTGTGACCAAATTCTATAAATTATAATTTATTTGCTATAGGCCATAACTCTTCCTTACTTTCTCTTCTTCCAGGGTACAGACTCGGCACTCCAGTATTAGACATTTATGGTGAATTTCCAGGTTGGCTTTTTGAAGTTTGGCAATTTTCTCCATGGTTTTACAGAGGTTCTCCAGGTAGTGTAGTCCGGGTCCTGGCATGGGGCGGGATGCTGGCTGCTGTGCCTAGAAAATGACATCATGCAGAATTCTGGAATCAGAACCCTTCCCACAAATAATATTTTCTCTGGCCTTCACATAATGTGCGGAAAAACCAATTGAACTATCCAACTTCTTCAACGTCTCCAGGGATGGAAAACTCACAAACATATTTGGTAAACTGTTGTCCTATTGGAAAACCCATTCCTTTTGTTGGTAGACTAAAGATTTCCTTATATTTAAATCAAGTCTAGATAGCTGCAACTTATACCATTACTATTACAGCTACAATTTCTGGCCCTAGTTCCTGTGGTAATTCTGGTGCACTTTTTCTGAAGTTTCCTTTTCTGTTTATTCCAACACTCACCTCTTCTTTTCTTTTCTTCTCAAGGATGCTGCCGCCTGAAGTAGTTTGACTGCATCCTCCAGAAGCCTCATCCAGAGCCGCCTCAACACTCACTGGATTCACTCGCTGCAGTAAAACGTGATTTATTGAACAAGCCATTAATGGCCTGGTTTGCACAGTGATAACCAGCATGGCAATGTAGAAATTGGAGTATAGGCTCTTAAGAAAATAACCAAACAGAAGAGATAGCATTTCTATAGAAAAAAGGACTTGAAATATTGTAGCTTGCAGCTATTTAAAACAGTGGAATTTATCAGTAGTGTCCGAATAGCAAATTTAAACCCAATGCTTTACAAGTATATTAGAAGATGCAATACTTATTGTAGAATCAAAAACCTCTTTAAATTTGAGAATCAAAAGCAATCTTTGCTATAACTAAATCTTTGTTATACACCTGTGGGATTTCATCAGCAGGAATATAACAAATAAAGTGGCCAGGATTACCTCAGAAACCTGAACTTATATTTCCTTACTAGCCCAAGTAGATGTTTTGCTGATGACTAATTAATCATCCTTTTATCCTGCCGCTCCCCCATCCATCCAAAATACAACCAGAGAGAGGAG